TTGTAATTATTTTTTGTACCAGTAATAAAAATATTTATATAATAAAACATGAGTGTGTTTGAATTTTGTCTCAGACATATTTTTCCCCTCAAAATCATCTCCAATCACTTATTTCACTCATCATCCTTTTATCAGACTCAAACGTCAAATCACATCACTTATTTATATCATATGTTTAATAATTTATATATTTCTTTCTTAAAAATATCACATCACTCATTTCTATCATATATTTAATTATTTAATATTTAATTAATTTGTAGTTAATATATTTTTAAAAAATTAATATAATGTGATCGATTTTTTGAACGCTTGAATTTTATATTTTATCGGATTATAACTATTCATAAATATAATAAATATCGACACACCGATTTTTTTATTTTTTTTTGTACCGTAGGGAACTCCCTCTGTTTTGAAAATGATCAAAATTTGAAATAAAGATGATAATTGATAAATGACCTAAATTGAGNATCATAGAAGGTGTTTAGAAAGGTGGAATGTTACTAGAGAGTGACTACAGCACATATGTCACCTGATATGTGACGCCATGTGTGTTTCTTGTCAAAAAAAAAAAAGTAAGGACAAACATAAGTCCAATCACTTACGGTCACATGGAAATTGAAAGGATTAGGTGAAGGACACAGGTGCTTGTGTCCTTTCTTTATGTTGTTAATGGTAAAGACACCAAGATTTGAGCAGAAACTAACTAAAATTTGTGCATAATAGACAGACCTGAATATCTAGCTGTGGGATTAAAGTGGAGCAATGCTATCAAAACTTTTGATCTGACAATTACCCACGAAGTTTCCCAACCGAAAACGATGTTCAATCATAGATTTCTATAAGTTTAATGTTTATAATTGATAGAACATGAAACGATTCTCTTATCATATCATAATATATAGACACAAAATTGATCGATCCCAAGGACAAAGCCGATAGGGATATGCCCCGGTATGAGTAGGGCAAAAAGTGCATCTTGGTCAGGTAATGAGATGTGTCCACCATGGCACAACGGGTCACAAAAAAAAATGTTTCTACAGACATATCATATGAAATGTACCTAAAATATAAGAAAATTTGAATAAAATGTATGACCCTTACTAACGTAGATTTTTTGGCGTCAACCCAATGAGTATTAGGTACAATTCAATAAATACGCTACAGAGGTCATTAAATGTTGAGAGAACATGCTTTGAGTGTTCGGCTTCTGGGACAGGGCAATCCTTGTAAGACTACATCTTTAGGAAATGTCGATTGTTTGCGAGAAATATGGCTCCCTAATAATTAATCTTATGAAAGTTCCCTCAGTCAACTTGATGAGACTCTTATGTTGTCACATCATCTTTTTAGAAAATATAAATAGTTCAATGAGTTGAGTATCAAGTACGCATTCGTAAACAATTCAATACACTAAAAATTTTATCTCGTTTTTGAGCAGTTACTGACTTAAGCATCGAAAATGATAGCAAATCGCTCAATCTCCACCATAGTACAATTATCTCAAACTATTACATGAATTCACTCATGCAACTTTCAACTACTTAATACAATATTATTAATTTTATTTATTCGAGATTGAAATAATAAGTACAAAGCACAACATAGGCGGAGTTATTATTGATTCTAGTATTCATACGTTAATAGAGGATACTGGAAAATGTGAATTGGACAGAACTCAACCATTAACATAATACACCAGGTTCTAGTAATTAAATTGAAACACATATCCTTTTGGTTGTCGGCTGTCGGCCGAACTTTTTGATCCAGATCCGTAAATACTCCATAGTATTAGTGACACATTTGACTGAGGGTTCAAAGAGTCGTGAGTTTTCACTCATGGGGCCAGCAAGGTTGGTGTCCATTGTAGTGATTGTTAAACTACCAACTCATCCAAAAACTTTCAAACTTTAGAGTATATGTAAATATACACCAACAACATGTTCATTGCTCCATAATGCAATAACATGGATGAATGATCCAAAAAAGGGCACATATGCAAGAGAGTGTTAGATTAATACGCTCCTCCCTCTCAGTTTAAACTTTTAGTATAGATGGTGATTCACAATAGTTAGAGACCACTGGCATTTTTGAAATGCATTAATTCTCTTTCCTCCTAAACTTTATTTTCCATTTCCCATTTTTAAGCATTGCCTAAATCAAAGAGAGCCCTGCTTGATAGTGGAACTACTTATTAGCCTTGTGCCCCACCCCGTTGTTTTTACCCATTTTAATTTACACAAGTAAATCTTATATGCACAACACATAAGTGGTTCATTTTGTGCCATGAATAAAGAAATTTCAAAAAGAAAAAACCCATTACAAGTTACAAAAATTATAATCACTACGTTCGAAACTAATCTTTAAGATTGTTTTTTATTTGAGTCGGAATTCCCATTTGTTTGGCTCTAATATTTCTCATCGCAATCAAATTTGAATGCGAGTCAATTTGAGTTTAGATCATTTTTATTTTCGATTTTGAGTTTTGAGTTTACATCCTAGTTCTCTTAATAAATCTATTAATCTTATCATTCCCTTTATGACAAAATCTTTCTAATACTCTTTTTGCATATACTGCATTTTTCTTATGATAGTTATTCACTTTTTCTTTTCTTAACATGTGAAAAGCTCTTCTAATATATGTATGTAGCTGGGTATAAAACTACTTTGTTGTTTTGATTTCCTTTGCCTTTTTCAGATAGTCTTTCACTTCATGTGAATAAACAGAGATATACTAATGATCAAAGATATGGGAAAATGGTGTTTTACTTCACCACACAAGCTCTCTTTCCCTGTACACCCCTCCCCCTCCCCCAAGCACACACACCCACGCATATATGCACATGTATATCATGGATGACCTACTTGTCAATTTCATATCTTCAATAAATTTAGGTCGTGTTGAGTAACTTGCTACGACAATTAGGCATCACATATATATAAAACTAGACTATTTAAAATTCACAATATTTAATTTGAGTTGAATTTGAATTTGAGCATTTTGGCCCGATTGATCTTAAACTCGATTAGAGACAAATTGGAACTGGGCCGAGTTTAGGCAAACCTAAGACACACACCAACCCAATTGACACGCCAGAGGCCTCACCTCTTAACTAGTAGATTTGAGGCTCGAAGTCAGAGTAGAGTTGTTTATGTGGTGACAAAATGTTAGTACTTAACAGATCTAAGACCTAAATTCAATCCCTACAAGATGTTTAGCGACACACATCTCCTTTTTCAGTAAGGAAAAAAAAAAANGTTACAAAAATTATAATCACTACGTTCGAAACTAATCTTTAAGATTGTTTTTTATTTGAGTCGGAATTCCCATTTGTTTGGCTCTAATATTTCTCATCGCAATCAAATTTGAATGCGAGTCAATTTGAGTTTAGATCATTTTTATTTTCGATTTTGAGTTTTGAGTTTACATCCTAGTTCCTTTAATAAATCTATTAATCTTATCATTCCCTTTATGACAAAATCTTTCTAATACTCTTTTTGCATATACTGCATTGTTCTTATGATAGTTATTCACTTTTTCTTTTCTTAACATGTGAAAAGCTCTTCTAANTTTCTAATACTCTTTTTGCATATACTGCATTGTTCTTATGATAGTTATTCACTTTTTCTTTTCTTAACATGTGAAAAGCTCTTCTAATATATGTATGTAGCTGGGTATAAAACTACTTTGTTGTTTTGATTTCCTTTGCCTTTTTCAGATAGTCTTTCACTTCATGTGAATAAACAGAGATATACTAATGATCAAAGATATGGGAAAATGGTGTTTTACTTCACCACACAAGCTCTCTTTCCCTGTACACCCCTCCCCCTCCCCCAAGCACACACACCCACGCATATATGCACATGTATATCATGGATGACCTACTTGTCAATTTCATATCTTCAATAAATTTAGGTCGTGTTGAGTAACTTGCTACGACAATTAGGCATCACATATATATAAAACTAGACTATTTAAAATTCACAATATTTAATTTGAGTTGAATTTGAATTTGAGCATTTTGGCCCGATTGATCTTAAACTCGATTAGAGACAAATTGGAACTGGGCCGAGTTTAGGCAAACCTAAGACACACACCAACCCAATTGACACGCCAGAGGCCTCACCTCTTAACTAGTAGATTTGAGGCTCGAAGTCAGAGTAGAGTTGTTTATGTGGTGACAAAATGTTAGTACTTAACAGATCTAAGACCTAAATTCAATCCCTACAAGATGTTTAGCGACACACATCTCCTTTTTCAGTAAGGAAAAAAAAAAAAGATGCATTGTTATGTGTATATGTATAGGTATGTGTGTGTGTGTGTATACCTTTATATGTATCAAATTTTGAAGAGTAATATATTACTCTCGGCCACATGAAGTTGAAACACCATTCACAACTTACCAAGCTCCTGTTGCATTAAATTGGGACAGATTTCTTTATAATGTATCCTACTTTTCATTTACACAAGTAGTAAAAATTCATTTTTGTTGAAAGGGTATACCCACTAACTGCCCATTGCATAGCTGATCCATAAGAATGGTCTTACATAGTAGGCAGTCTTACATAGTAGGCATAAGTTCAATCTAAATATTCTTTGAAAAAATTTGTACCCACATAAAACTTCTCGTCTACAATGAACTCTATAAGAGGGAAGTGTTAATCAAGTTTCTAAACTCGAACTTATAACATATCATTTACAAGAGTGAAAACTTGTCATCATTTTATATCCAATCACTATAAAATACTCTTCCCATGAGTAAATAACTTGAATTCGAGTGCAACAATAGAACCATTGCCAATCTTTGGCAAAAATAAAATTGAAAGATCGGGAATCAAAAAAAGATTACATGTCAACGGGCTTTTGGTTTAATAATATTCTTTATTTGGTGAAGGTTTTACCTTCTCGAGATCAATGATTCAAGTCACTCTCCCAAAAAAAAAAAAAAAAAGAACCACATCAAAATTAGAAAACATAAAAGAGTCAATTTTATCTTATGCATTTGGTTTACAAAAAGTTTTAATTAACTGAGTCTTATCTCATATTGCCCAAAAAAAAATACGTGATTGAAATAATTTTTATTATGAAAACATAATTTAAAAAAAAAAAAAACAGAAACAGACCCACCAAAACACAGGTTTAGTAAACTAGCCCCAAGAAAATAAAGAAATCAATCAGCCCAATATTTCCCAAATTCACGCAGTCTAATGACCTAGAGCCACCACGTGGCCCAAGCCCAGCCCAATATAATAATACTCTTCTCTCGATCCCCGAGGCCTCTCTCTTCCTCTCCTCCTTTAAAACCTTCAAATTTTTTTCTCTCTCTTCTCAGTACACACCACCACAAAGTACAGACATGGAACCATGGCTAGACGATCTCTCCGACGACCTCCAAAGCATGAGCTTCAACTCCACCAACACCAACACCACCACAACAACCACCGACATCAACCGCTCCACTTCCTCCGGCTCCGAAACCACCTGGACGGCCATTTCCTCCTCCACCCACTACGGCCCACCCATCACCAATAAACCCCACACCACCCCCTCCGGCGACCCCTGCTGGGACTCTATCCGCCGAGCCAAATCTACCTCCCCTTCCAACCCTCTCTCCCTATCCGACCTCCGCTTCCTCTGTCGCCTCGGCTCCGGCGACATCGGCTCCGTCTACTTAGCCGAACTCAAATCGGCCGAGACCACCGGAGCATTGTTCGCCGCCAAGGTCATGGACAAGAAGGAACTTGCGAGCCGTAATAAGGAGGGAAGATCGAGGACAGAGAGGGAAATTCTCGAGATGTTGGACCACCCATTTTTGCCCACGCTTTATGCGACCTTAGAGTCCCCTAAATGGTCGTGTCTTCTGACGGAGTTTTGTCCCGGCGGCGACCTCCATGTTCTCCGGCAACGTCAGCCATGTAAACGCTTCCCTGAATCTGCCGTCAGGTGCGCAGTTTAGCATTCTTGAGCAGGCTCATTTTAGTATTTAAAATCATTAATTTTCATGGCTAATTTACGTGGATTTGATTCGGTGTGGCGGAAGTACATGCGTAATTTTTGCTCTTTCTTTTTCAAATTTCTTGTGATTTAAAAAAAATAATAAAAATTACTGTGATAGTGATGTATCGTTCCTGATGTGTTTTGGGTCCACAACCTGCAACACTGTTGGGGTATCAAGTTTGTGGGGACTACTTAGTTGGCAACTGTCTAACTGAGTGAATCGGGTTTACGGTGTTTTCTGTAGTCTGTCGTACACTGGATAATTTTTTTTTGTGTGGCGGAAACTAGAAAACAAACGGCGTAGGATTATGGATCGTGATCGCACGTGCTCGTGTCCACGTAAGTTTGTCAGTGTGTCTCTCTCTAAAGTCAAAGTCTGCAAGTACTTTGATGTTCCTTCATAGTATTTGTCTCGCCAATGGGCTCTTGACAAGTCATTAACATAGGCAGTAAGATTACGATAATGCCACTGTTCTCATGTGCATTAAACATAAAATTATAACAAAAAATTATACGTAAAATTTGTATTAGCAATTGAAAATTATGTGTGATTAGTGAAGGTAGTGAAATCTTTTGACCCCTATTTGCAATTATTTAGTAGCAATTATGCGAGATCAATCACTGTTTGTTGTGTTAAATCACCGCTTTGATTGCTCACAGTTGGGCGTTTATAGTTGGCCCACTACGAAATTATTTAGTAGTTGCCCTTGAGCAGTAGCAAGGGGCATTTTAGTCACAAAATTTGGAAAATTTTCTACTCTGCGTAAAATCCATTAATTTTTGCGGTTGACTTGGATTTCTTTATTTAGTGTCATGTCATTTGGGTCCCAATAAAAACTCAAAATAATATTTTATCGTGTCATTTGGAAATTTAAGGTGGTGGGGGTGTAATTTTCTATATGTAATATCTTTAACTTATTTCTGGCTGGCCCCCCATTGATTCTCCTTGTGACAATTATGCCATTATTGAGGTTGGGTACATAGTGAGAATGACAATGGAACTAAACCAAAAGCATCAAGAATTCATGAAGTAGTAGATCCCATTTGTCTAACCAAATTTGGGAAGGATTTGTAAGTTAGAACACAACATAAGAGATCCAAATTTGTCTTATAAATGTTGGAATAGGCCAGTTCAATTATGTACCGTTTGATTACATTTTTGTGATTATTATTTTATTTTTTTATTTTTTCAAAATGTTTTTAAATAGTGTTTCTTGTTATTTTTCTTTATTGAGTTATCACTTTTGTAAAGTAGTAATCAAACTTTTTACTTCTTTTCATGATTGTTTTCTGCTTGAAAAAGCTCCTTAAAAACAGTTACCAGACAGCAACATATCCTGTAATTTATTTACTGGAATGTTTATAGCTCGAATGGAAAGATTTTAGAGATGTAATATTGTGAGATTATAAGTTCAACATCAAATAATCCAATGTGCGTGGTTGCAAGTCGTTGTAGATGTTGATGTTTGTATTGTAATCACTAGTCCAAAATACACATAGTTGAGACTATTGTCTGTTATAACCAGAATGAACGGAGAACCACAAGTTGTAGGGATCACAAGTGTCTTTTGAAATTGTTGTCATGTGTATCTTAACTGTCTCACATGTCAAGGAATACAAGTCACTTGTCTTATACATGTAATTTTAGTCTCCTATTTACTCTGTCAATCATTTTATATATATCTGCTAACCAAGGCAGGTAACACATTTCCTTGATGCAGTGACATTAGTACACCTACATAAACCTGGTGTATCAGCTTTATGTTGTACCGAATCCAAAACAAATGGGAAAAAAAAAAACGTGCCCAATGCATAAGCTTCCTGCTTATAGCGTGGTATTGGAGGGCTTGATAGTAGACATTTTTAATGCAATTTTTGGATTGAGTAATTCTCAGACTCGACACCACGATCTTAGTTACTTTGGCGGATGAGCATGTGCTTTTAGCTTCTTTCGACTCAAAGAAAGAAAAGAAAAGATAAGATAAATATTCATCAGAATATGCCAAAACATGCAGCAAAAAGGGCAAGGAACCCCCTTTTTTCTTTTTTAAAACCTAGGTATTGGTATATTTTGCTTCATTGCATGGGTATATTTTATAGGGTCCTAGACATCCCACAATATGAAAGTTCACTCACCAGGAAACATATTGGTCCCCTCACTATATGATGCCACACCTGGTAGAGTAAGAAACAAAGTTGTCTCTTTATACTTTATTTTATCTTTTGTTTGTTGGTTTAGAAGTACAACTTGCATAGATTAGTTGCATAATAATTTGATTCATGAGTGGAAGCATGATGTAAGAATCCCTTAGTGAAATTATAAATGACAGTGATACGAGTAGGTCCACATGCACCAAGGTGTGACTTAATCTTGTGGGACCTCAATTATTTTCCTGCATAGGGGCAGATCTGTAATTTTACTCCCACATGTTATCATCAATTATCTCTTAGACTAAAGTCCTGGAGTCATGGTAAAATGCTATATTGATCTTGATTGATTTCACTTGGCGTGGCCAATTTGAGCAAGTAGCCAATATAACAATCAGTCAACTTGCTGCTTTTTTTTCAGGTTCTATGCATCAGAGGTTGTGGTAGCTCTAGAGTATGTCCACATGATGGGAATCGTCTATCGTGATCTCAAGCCTGAAAACGTGTTAGTTCGATCGGATGGCCATATCATGCTCACTGATTTTGACCTCTCGTTGAAATGTGACAACTCTACATCTACGCCAGCTCAGATATTCTCAGATCAAAATCCACCAAGTGCACCACCACCTAATGAGTACCATCTCGATCCACCACCCTTTACGTCTTCATCATGCATTCTTCCCAATTGTATTGTCCCTGCAGTGTCATGCTTCCACCCTAGACGCAAGCGAAAGAAGAAGTCGAGTCATCATGGTGGTCCTGAATTCGTGGCCGAGCCCATTGATGTCCGGTCAATGTCATTCGTGGGGACTCACGAGTATTTGGCGCCAGAAATTGTGTCCGGTGAGGGCCATGGTAGTGCTGTGGATTGGTGGACGTTGGGGATCTTCATATTTGAACTATTTTACGGTGTCACACCCTTTAGAGGAATGGATAATGAGCTAACCCTAGCTAATATTGTTGCTCGAGCCCTCGAGTTCCCTAAGGAACCCGCCATACCACCCATGGCTAAGGATCTGATTTCGCAACTATTGGTCAAAGATCCAGCGAGGCGAATGGGGTCCACAATGGGTGCCTCAGCAATCAAGCACCATCCATTCTTTCAAGCAGTGAATTGGGCACTTTTGAGATGCACATCCCCACCGTTCATTCCTACCCCATTCAGCCGAAATGTTTTATCAGATGAAAGCTGTCCAGAGACTCCAGTGGACTATTACTAGTGCNCCCCATTCAGCCGAGATGTTTTATCAGATGAAAGCTGTCCAGAGACTCCAGTGGACTATTACTAGTGTCTATAATAGGGGGTCAACAAGGAAAGCTTCCGATACTTATACGGTGGGTTTATAGTGGAAAATTTTCTAAAGCAAGATCACTTTACTCTTGTTTGCCGACACTGTGGCAGCCATTGATGCATGATGCTTCATATGTAAATTTTTTGAATCTATTTTGGGGTGGAAAATGTTGAAAATACCTGGTTTTCACCAATTTGGCAATAGATTATGGGCTATAGTATAACGCTGAGTTTTTGGATATGGTTAATGAAAGTTCGGGTCAGTGTAAAATTATGTATAATTTTGGAGTTTACACTTCAATCTATCACAATTGCACCATGAGAATTAAATAATTTGGACTCAATAATGCCCATCGTGCGAACTATGAGGTCTCATTAGATTTTTTTCACACTTTGTATTCGGCTCAATTTCTAATAAATTTGAATTTATTTTTTTTAAATGTCATGTCCTAACCATTTAGTTATCAAAAGAAAATGGTAGTCCATGAGATTTTAATTTACATAATTTATTCTGCGGGCGAATAAACTATTCCATTCAATTGCATTGCTGTCTGGGTAAATTCTAAGATATCGAAACAAAAATATTCGGTATCATATTTAACACTTTTGAAAGGAGAAGTTAAAACTCATCGAGGTAATGTTATGATCGATCGTAAAAATTTCAGTATCAATTTCAATCTTTTATGATCAATTATATCCTTTAAAATTATAACTTACACGTCAAAACAATTATAATTTAACTGTTAAAAGTTATAATTTTTGGTACCATAATGTCAACGGTTCCGTTGCCTTTCCCTATTGTTTGTTAGCCGTTGCTCTCTTGCAATAATTTGCAAGAGAGAAAGAGGGAAACATTTGTTTTCAAAATTTTTAAAGTGATGGGTAAGTTTATATCTTCTAGTCAATGGCGGTGATGGAAACATCGGATCCCGACAACATGCATGTAAACAATGATACAGACGTGTGATGCCGGTGGCATGGCGTGATAGGTTGGCCATTGTTTCCGGCGGGCCCGGAGCATGGGCCTTCATGCATCATCAACTTCCCCCCTAATTGTTGCGAGAGCTTGCGGATACCACGCCCCCACCCACGTGATTTGTTTATAGCATGAAGGAATGTAGGGTTGGGGATTTTTGTCTTTTATCTATCAGAGCTACTCTTTTAAGTTTTTGGGTTTTTTTTTTAATTTCTATCAAGAGACTTGAAATGGGGATTGTCACTAGGTTCTTGCATACTTTATCATAGAGAATTATAAATTTTTTTTTTCTTTTTTACTTTATTTTGAAAGGTATTAGAACATAAATTGTATCTGTTAAGGTCGAATTCCTGACGAACAGGTATGTTTGTTTCGCAGGATAAAAAGAGATTAAAGAGGGGGATTGGGTCAAATTGTTCTATGGTATCACTTATTATTTTGATTCTGCAAAGACTATTTCTTTGATTCTCTAAAGAGATCTATTCAATTAGACATAACATTATTATTGCTGACTCTTATGACCCCACTATAGTTTTAATTAGCAACAATTTTGGGAAGGTAATTTAGAGTTGAAATGCCCCATTAGTGTTTTTTTGATCAAACACTAACCACTTACTCTAACAGAGTAAGGGCTAGTGAAGACATTATATATTATTCACACACCCAAAGACTATCCGATGTGGAATAACCCCAGCTCCCACCGCCCCGGCCCCATTGGTGTTCATCATATGATCGACACATACAATATGTTTTAAATGTGGGTTTTTATTTAACCCACACGAGAGGTGGAATGAAAATGGTCCCCTATGCCACTCATATTACAAGTCGGCAATTTTACTTTTTTTTAAGGCCATGATAGTAGCATCAAAAAAAGCAGTCAAAAAAAACTTCCTACACGCCCACAAGTCAAATCTAGGATTGGAATAAAAAGGTAATTCTCTTGAGATATAAGTAGGTCACTTGTGATTAGGTTGGATGGAAATTTTCGAACTTACTCCATTCAAAACAACATATCAAGGACGTTCGCAAAAGATACAATTAGTTTCATCATTTGTATCTTTTTTGGTTCATGGATAACTCTAGTAGGGCAGGCAGATATCCCTCTTTGCTGTAAAATTGGATTGCTGACATTTTGGGATGCTAAACAATTATATGCTTTTGGTCCAACATCAAATAATATTTTAGCATCCCAAAATGCCTAAAATAATCTATATTAGGACCGTTTGATCCAAAAAAAAAATCTATATTAAGACCGACAATTTTTGTTATAGCCCTTTAAGCTGATAAAAAATTAACACGCAATTTTGTGATACTTATCTCTATCTTTCAGTAACTATGTTAGAGTTGTTGGGCCTTTGTGGAATCTAATTTTGTGTGTGTGATCTGGAAGATGACCCTACCCGAAATAATATTGCCTGATTTTTAATGAAAAATTTTCTGAGCCTTGGTCCATGGAGCGAAAGTACGTGAGAAATATAAAAACCTGTTACTTTCGTGATTAGGGTTTGAGTGTAACAGTATAGCCGTCCTCTCTATTCTGCTTTCTCAATAGTGAAATCTCTACAGCTTCGTAGACTTAGACAAATTGTCAAACTACGTAAAATCTATATGTCTTGTTCTTTCTTACTTCTCATTGTTTTATGTTTTTTGTTTATTTTTCGATTATGTGTGTTTATTTGTGGGTTTAAAGCGCATTGGATCCCAACAAGAGTATTTTAAACAAAAAAAAAGTATTTTTTATATGAAAATTCAATCGCACATCAAATAAATTTCTAAAAATATTTGAATATATATGTTAGAGTTATTTAGTATTTGAATTAAAGTGAGACCTTAGAACTCTCACGTGTGTAGAGGTGGGACAAGCGGAGAAGATAAGTATTGAGTCCAGTCTACTCCACGCCCCGGTAGTAGGTCCCCTGGCTTGCATAAATGGAATAAAATATGAACTACTATTAAACTTACTTTTTAATATTTTATTTAATTACTTTCCGTCATAATTTTTATATTAAAAATTCACTTTCTGAATATCAAAAGTAGTAACGGCTAATTTTTCAACAGCTTTTTATTAGTTATTATCTGATTAAATATGTGATTAATTACGGAATATTAAACACCTATATTTTCTATATATATATATATATATATATATTTACATATTTAAGTATAGAAAAATACAATCTAAATATCTACTACAATCTCTCTACTGCATAAGTTTTTTGACAATATTAAAAGGTATCGTGTGAAACTTCTACTTCATTCAATTATGCAGATCTGAGTGAAGCAACAGTCAATAAATTGAGTTGTTATATCATAAGATGACGTGTTGTTTCTTTCTGCATTGTATTTTTTTTCATAAAGGGACACGTATCGTTTTAACATGATGACTCAGTCCGCACTTTACTATGTCATTTACTTTATTTTTCAACAAATTAAATGAAAAATGATTTAAAAAACAACTTTAAAATTGAATACGCTCACCCCATCAGAAAGACCCCGACCCCACCAACCAAGTCAATGAAGTCAATATTCAAATGAATCACACACCCATACCCACATAGCACTTAACTTACACCAACAACCACCCTTAAATTTAACACATGCCCACCACTAGGACTTCGATGACTTCAAATTCAAAATGGTTATCTTGGTTTGTCCATAGTTAGTACATTAGATAATTCAATCTAAATCACCATCAAAAGCACTATAAAATGGCATTTGGATCACCCTCAACACCATCGTAACATCAGCAAAAATCATTTGCTAGATTGAATATTCGACCCACAGGTACAAATCAATTTGCTCGTCTTATTTGATATTATGAAATTTATTTCATCTGTTTTTGGATAGGAAAAAAAAGGATGGAGAGAAGAGAAGAGAAAGTAGAGGATGGAGGTGGCAATAGAAAATAGAGAAAGAGGTAGAGTTACAGTAACCCACGAGGGAAAGGTAAATATTAGCAAGAATAAACTACACCAATTAAGTTTTGAACTAAATTTTATTTCAATTAAGCTCTTAAATTTTAACAATTAAGCCCCTGAACTATTTTTGTATCAATTGAGCTCTTAAACTCTAAAATTTCAACAATTAAGTCATTCTGTCAAACAACCGTTAGATTTTTGGACAGAATGTCCTATGTGCTCACCATATGGGCAATAAATTAAAGTTATTGTAGATTATTCGTTTGAAACTTATCAGACGAAGAAATTTATTCTTTACAACCATCAACTGAAAACCCTAAACTTAAACCTCTTTCATACCCATTAAACAGAGCAACTCAGTAAGTTCTTCGATCTGGTGTAGAAAATAGATTAAACAAATGTAAGACTCTTCGAAAAGCTTGTTAATCTGATTTGTTTGATAGGTATGAAAGAGGTTTAGGTTTAGGGTTTCAGTTGATAGGTATAAGGAATGAGGTTATTCGTCTGATAGGTTGCGAATAAATAGTCTTAAATAACCCTAATTTGTTATCCATGTGGTGAGCATGTAAGATATTTCATTCAAAAACCTAATGGCTTTTTATAGAAGGGCTTAATATTTAAAATTTTAGAAATTAGGGGTTCAATTATCACAAAAATTAGTTCTGTGACTTAATTACAATTTTTTGAGTTTCGAAACTCAATTGATATAAAACTTAATTAAATGACTTCATTGATATAAATTTCATAATTTAAGGGCCATTTGTTTTGTTTACTCTATCATCAATAACCATGTGTCTAAAGACAAATTGCTATATAAAAAAATTGAGCATTGATCATGAAATATTTTATATTTTAAATAAATAATTTTATTTTTGTAATTACTGAATTTAAAATTGAAGTTAATAAATATGAAAATAAGACAAAAGTAGGTGAAAAAAAAAAAGAGATAGGTTTGGATTAGTGAGGTTGATTGACATCAAAGAGTCTGGTAGTTAAGTTGTCTGATATTGAAAATCATGTAGAGAATATAATATTTTTGTGCAAAAACAAAACTTTTTTTAGAATGAATTTTTGTACTGATAAATGAAATTGAATAAAATTTAAATTAATTTCAATCATTGTTTTGTTTTTTATAAATGTGAAATTCAAATGATTAATGTTATGTGCATCAAAATTTGTACCGAATGATGTAAGTCATTAGATTTATGGGATCTATTGACACTTATTACACATCTGATGAATATGATATTGTCACATCATTTATGTTCTGTTTAGTAGGAAGAATAAAGAAAATGAGGAATACACCATACATTTTTCTTCTTTTGTGTTTGGTAGAATAGATAAAAAATATATATAGATATTTTTTTGTGATTGGAATTGATGAAAAAAATAGAAGAATATACATACATAATTTACTATTTTATCCTTATATGAGATTAGTGTATATATTATACATCATATCACTATAGTATATGCATCATGTGTTTTAACAAACACAAATCACATAAAAATATATCTATTTTTTATTTGATTTTTAAATAAAAAAATAAAAATAAACACACACATACATAGTGTTAACACATAATGTAGTTCCACCGATTGATATATGAGTTTGAGTTTAAGTGTTTAACGTAAATAAGTAATTAGTTAAATATTAAAAAAGTAAATAACATATTTTTATCTAACACGAGTACCGTTTTTCATCTTTTTCTACCCATTTTTTGAGGGATTGATTTTGGTAAGTCAGAAGGAATGTTCATTCGTCTATTTTTTTTTCCCTTCCTTACGAAACATGATGTTTTATCTATTTCTCTAATTTTTCATCATATTAATTTTTCATTATTTCATCGTACCAAACAAAACATTAGTGTAAAAAATTTAATGTACATAACAAATTGCAAGGTATAATACTGGATAAGAAATACAACCACTTCTACTGTACATATAATTTTAGTATTTGAAGAGGCAGTCTCCGTATTCAGACCAAACTATTGTGGGCGTTAGTGTAATTTAATCTAAAAGACATCAGACTGCAGAGTTCGTACTTCCACAGAGCTTCACTGGGTTTTCTTTCTGCTTCGAATTCTTCTTCAGTCCATTAGATTACTTTCCTCGTTGATTTCAAAGCCTAGAGAACCAAAAATGGAGGAAGCTCAGAAAGAGAACGGAAGCTCAGCGACGACGGTGGAGGAGAGAGAGGAAGAGCCTATTGTCGGGCCTGGTCCGGCCCCTCGCGCTCGTACCAAGCGCCCTCTCCAATTCGAGCGAGCCTATCTCGATGCTCTTCCCTCGGCCAACATGTACGTATTTTCACCGATATATACACTTGTAAGCATATTTGTGCTGAATGCATATGTATGTAGACTTGTTTTAGGGTTTAGGGTTTTGGTTCTGGATCGCCAATTTTGTCTTTCACTATCTTTGGATTAAGATGGTTTTTGTTTCAAATTAAAAAGGAGTTTGTTTTTTCTTCCAAATATTGGATCTTCTTGGTGTTTGATGATGTTCTTAATACGATTGGGTAGAATGAAGAATGTAAAGTGCATAAGGAATTCAATCTGAGCTTGAAGGCTCTTAGGAATAAGATTTTTGGAAGGGGATCAATCACATAGGAAAATTATAGTGGTTCACCCTCTGGAGCCCGGGTAATCTACTCTTCAATATATTGACCAAAATGGGAAATTATACAGTATTTTGGTAAAGCTATCATTCATATATCTGGTTGAGGGTTTTAGTCTCTTATTTATAGTTGATTCTGGGCCTAGCCAGAACTACAGCGAGATCCTTGTCCTTTTCTCATAATGGCTGCTTGAATTATGCCACGGTTGCGGGGGTATTGGGGTGGTTACGAATCTTGTGCTTAGATAAGTGACTGTTGCTATAGGGGAGTGTTTGGTGGGTGCCAGTTGTCTTTAACACCGTCTTCCTTGAGGTGTAAATTCAGGGGTCTCGAGGTCTGGAGTCAGAATCTTCATGTGACTGGGCTGGATGAACCAATCCCAACCTTAGGCATATCCTAGATATTATCAGTTGCTCCCCAGTCCTTGGTCAGGTAGAGTTATTTGAGCTGGGATTGAGTTATGGATGGGGTGAGCGAGGTTGCCTAGGAACAACCTCAAGATGCACATGATGGGACATGTTTTTGACGGTTATGGCAAACGAGCACTCATTCCTTCCTCGTTTCTCTCGCACATCTCTTATTTCAAGGTACCACATGTCTGTCCGTATGCTTGGCTTTAAATGCTTCTATAGAAGAAAACCAGCCTTTTTCATTACTTCGAAATCTCTTCTTATTCTTTCTCCAGATTTTACTCCTTTCCTTCTTTTCTTGCGGTTTCATCTTTCCCAAATTGCTGGAGATCTAGGGCTTTGCTGGTAAATCCCAAATTCGATTTGAAGATTTTGCGAGGTTAGCTTAGTCCGTTCCTCATATTTGTTCTGGATTTTTTATTGTTGCTTGTTTTCAGCTAGTTATGCTCTTTGCTTTGTTCTTATTTTCTTCTTTTCGCTTTGGATCTCTCAAATTCAAGGTGGTTTTTTAATTTCTGGACGTTTTGCTTTTGCTACTTTAAGAATCGAGGTCGTTCCTTGTCCTTTTCTCCTCTTCTCTTGGACCCTTACTCTACTATTAGGATTTTACTTTTTGACCGTTGGTGTCTTGATTTTTCGGCCCTTAGGGACTGCTTTGCTAATATGCACTTCCTTTATACCTCTTTCCATCTTTGTTTCTCCAACCCTACCATGTCTACCTCTTTTGAAGCTACTGCTTCATCTGTTTCCTTTGTCATAGGCTTCAGGTCTCCTAAACTTGAGGAGTACGACCTAAGTGATGTAGGTGACGAAATAAATAATTTTTTCGGTGTTGATTCCCTCGATGTTAGGGAAAAGGTTGAGATCCCTATTCTGTCATCTTCTCCAGTGCCGAGGTCTAAGAAGTCTAATAAAAGGAAATCCAAGATGAATGATGTTGGGGTTTTTGGTAGGGAGATAGAGGTCGTCCCCAGAGCTTCAAACTTTGTGAGGTCACCCTTCCTTTTCTAAGTATCCTTTCAGCTCGGTTTGGTTTTCCTCGGGGTATGTAGTGTTGGTCCCCACGTATGAATATTCGGTATGACTCCCAGGTTCCAAAGAAAATTTGCTAATTTGTAGCTTCTTTCGAGAATGGTCTTCGCTTTCTTATGCATCTCTTTCTCAAAAGTGTTCTTCAACAGTTCCATGTCTGCCCTGCTCAACTTTCTTTCAATTTTTGGGTGTTATGGTGGGCCTTTTTGTTTTTTTTCAAGAAGAACGAACTTGGTGTCCCCACTGTACTCTTGCTCATGAAGTTCTTCAATGTTGAGGTACTCCTTCTGATGGTTTTTTGTATATTGCCAAATAGGTGAAGTCTCGAATTCTCATCATTGACCTCCCGAGCTCTCACAAGGGTTGGAAGAAACTCTTCTTCTTCGTGTCTGGGAGAGAATGGGAGTATAACCCCAGAGATGCAGCTGACACACTTTCTATACCTCGACCTTGGTCTGCCCCTGATAATTTGGGTAAGTCTTGCCTGAAAAGACTTGACCTTGCCTCAATGTTTCATTCTGCTGATGTTGTTTCTTCTATCTCTTTCAGGTGTTCAACCCGATCTTAGTGTTGAGGACATGATAGTTTTCCTGGGCTTGGAGAGTTGTGAGCCAAAAAAATACTCCAAGCTTCTCAAGCCTGAGGTGCTTACTCAGTTTGGGTTTAGTCCTCCCGAAATAAGAGTTAAGACCCCTATTCCCATCTCTGTGGTTGGCGTAGAAAGGCTTACCGGTAAGGCTTCTTTCCCTTTATCCCTAGCTTTTCTTTTCTTTTTTTCTGTTTTCATTGACCTGCTTATTTTGGCTTCTCAAGTTCCAGCTCAATTACTCCTGATGTCAATGTTGTGAAGGATTAGGTTGCCCATCTTAGGAAGAGTAGAAGTGGGGGAAAATGCAAGGCTAAGGTCGAGTCTAAAAACGACCCCGCTCCATTTCCGAAAGTGCGGAGAACAAAATTGCCTTCACCCTCTCCTTCTCAGGCGATCTTTTCACCTCCATCGATTTCTCAGAAGGCTGTACTGACTTTTACTTCTCAAGTGATCTCTCGTCCTCTCATAGAGGG